AAGCAACTTCCAAGCGAAGTGGTGCTGGCTCCCACCCTGGGGGTCTTTAAGAGGAGGCTAGATGAACACCTTGCTGGGGTCGTTTGACCGCAGTACTCTTTCCTGCCATGGCAGGGGGTCGGACTTGATGATCTGCTCAGGTCCCTTCTGACCCTACCAACTATGAAACTATGAAACTATCATAGTTATTTGTGTTAAGCATGAGGACAAGTTCCTCCTGTTTATTCCCCAAGCTCCTGCCATTTGTGTACAGGCAGACAAGTGTCCTTTGGGGGGCCCTTGCCTTGCCCGCAGCTCACTCCAGGGCTGGGGCAGGGGTGGGTTCCCTTAAGTGCTTTGGCCTGCTGGCATTGCTCAGCTACCCTCCATCTCCCAGGGGAGAAGAGCCTGGCAGTAGGAGTTGATCTCCTGCTCACAGTCCCTGATAGCACGCAGTCTTTGGACTGCAGCCTGGAGCTCCTCCAGCTGGCGTGCCAGAGACCCCAAAAGGGAACAGAGCTTACAAAGGGAGGTGGCCATGCTTCCGGGCCCCAGAGCCTGAAAAAGTGACAGGCAGCCCCCACAGCCAAGAGCCAGAGGCTCCGTCTATGTGGAGCCCAGAACCATGGGCTTTGTCTGGGTGGAGGCCTCTGAGGTGCTGGGGGGGGGCAGACCCCAAGGGGATTCTCAGGGTGCAGCACATGCCCATCTGCAGCATGCAACTGGTAAGCTGGCTGCAGCTAGGACTGCCTACCCTAGGAGGATTTAGTAATTTTTCATTTATGGGACAAAAATAATCAATAACCAACTACTTTATAATTCATTGCACAGTGAAAGAAATATAAATACTAACAACTTCAGATTTTTATTTCCAGGAAAAAAGCTAATAAAGCATCACACTATTATAAAGGAACCAAAGCAAAAATTAAACAGAAGAACCCCTAAATCAGAGACAGCCACTGAGTTATTTAAGAAATTGCTGGGACACTCCAGCAATGTATTTTTTAATTATATTAGTTATAGGTTTACTATATTACTAAGATAAATAACTTTATCTCTCTGCCTCAGTTGCTGATGTATAAAATGAGAATATTTCTTCCTTTTCTCCAAACCTTTATTATGTTTGCCAGGCAAGGACTGCTTCTTACTATGTGCATATCAATCAGCAAAGGCCTGATCTCATTTGGGGCCTCTTGATTATACAATAAAACAATGTGTTATTAGATTAGAACATAGTGAAATCATTATCTAAAGCATGTCATATGTGCATAAAAATAGTATTATTCAAGAAGCTAACACCTACTAAATACATTTATCTTACCAGTCTGCTTCCAGATAACTGAAATCCAGTTCAAACTGGCTCAATACATCTCCTCCTGAGGATAGAGGGGAAAAAAATGCAATTTTCCTACTTGATACCACAAAGACTCCATTTCTTGTAACAAAAACATACATCAACAAGTATTAGCAGTATTGCATATAACTACATTGTGTGTTAATACCTCTGAATTGCATTTTAGATGTCTGAGTGTTTCTCACACAATATGTACTTAAGAGAGAGACGATAATATGCATCCTGAATTTCCAGAACACGATAAAAACATCATGTTATTTAAAGTCAGGGAAGCTACTCAGTCTAACTTTGAAATTCTGCTGTGTCTTTGAATAAGAGTGGTCAAATTCTCTAATATATCTTCTCAGAAGTGCAGACATGATGAAAGGGCAAAGGTAGCTTTATTCACAATCTGGCCAGTCAGAACCTGTTGCCAAAAAGAGCCAAAATACCCAATAGAGGGTGGGTCTACACATGTATTTTCACCACCTTAAATTTACTGCACAGCAAGTTACTGCACAGTAAGCGTGAATAGGCTGGCATGTCAGGCATTAAAGCGCATTAACACTGTGTGTGTGAACTGACTTGGAACTAAAATTAGTCCCAAGTCAGTACAGACACAGTGTTACTGTGCAGTAAGGTGTCTACACATGTGTTACTGTGCAAGATCTAACTGGGCATTAATTGGGCATGATGCAGGTATTAAATTTATGCTCAAGTCAACATAAGCCACCATATTTACTGCACAGTACAGGTGTGCATGTGTAGATGTGAGTTCACGCTGCTCAGTAATTTTGGTTACTGTGCAGTAAATGCACACATATAGAAGCACCCAGTGTGAAGAACAAAGACTACCTTAGTTTACAACAACTACACTGCTACCCAGAGACTCTATAGTGCTGCGTGGAGCCACAGTTATTAATCCCACTCTCAGCCACCATGTACACAGCTTCTTTCCCAGAGCTTGCAAGATGGGGTGGGGGGCACAGCGCAAGATCCATGTGGCTTATTTCTTGCTCCTGGTCATTGTATATAGGGCCAGACTCACCACCCAAAACTGGACTATGCAATAAATCAGTTATTGCAGAAGGAGAGAGACCTCATTAATTTAGAATCAGCAAATATAAATATTACCAAAATCACCAACTTGATGAGCTTCTGAGTATGAGCCACGAAAATCAATCTGTGGGAAATGGAAAAAAATATTTAATGTATAAAATAAATAAGTCAATTTTGCTCGCCCTTCAGTACAAACAGAAAGATAGAAAAAGAGCGATAGTGAAGTGGATAGGCCCAAAATTTGACCAACTATCAGCCTGTAAAATTTAGCATGCAAGTAAGTCTTCCAAGGATCAGAGTCCCACTTTTTTCCCCTTATTTAAAAGGCAAGCTATCAATATCAAGATCCACAGAATGATTGATAAAATGTAATGTACACTTACTGCTCCCATGGTCTGTAGAAATCCTTGATCAATGCCCAAGCTATGCCAGTTCACATCTGCCACCATATGGGAGGCAATTCCAAACAAGAAAGCCACCAGTTTCTCCGTAGCCTATACAGCAATGACAATATATAATAACATCCCAAAACTACTATTATAGTTATACTGCGTAACTACTATAATACCTTTGCTGTCATGAAACATTCCATCCATTTTGTATATTAAGTCTGGATAAAATTCAGCAATCTTTACTCACTAGGAATTCACACCTGCAAACTGTTCTAGATCCTTGATGTAAAAAAGTTCTAGAAGGGTGTTTCTATATGTTCATATTAATGCTCACAAATAAGCAACAGAGCTTATCACTCTGGAGTTTATTGCTCCTGGATGCTTGTCTTCACATGTGCCTGGGACCACAGCACGTTGAGCCAGAGTGGGGTAGTCCTGGTGGGCAGGGGCCCCAGGGTGCTAGCGCAGGGCTGCTCTCCTCTCTGCAGCATAGGAGCTCAACATGCTGTAGAGGGGCTGGCTGGGGCACGAGGGTGCTTCAGTGAAGGACTAGCCAGCAGGCAGCCCCCACACTGAAGCACTCTCATGCCCCAGCCAGCCCTTCCTGTATCTACATGTACACTGCTGCAGGGTTTTTATTTCACAGTCAGACAGTATTTGTAAATACTATACTACTTGTAAATAAAAATACTATCCAGTTGCAATGTAAATTAGTGTAACCCAGGTACACCCAAGGGTGTGCCCTATTCTCAATCAAATGGGATGGGTAGGCAGAAGGGGGTGCTGTGAAAGGGATGTCAGAATTTCAAGCAGATCTCTCTTTCCTCTACAGAGTTAGCCCAAGCTCAAATTCTTAACTATATAAAATTTATTAAGTTATAATATACATAAACATAAAACTAATTATCATATACATATATTTACACAGTGAACACTAACCAATAACCAAGGTCAAACCCTAAATAACACTATTTACAACATCATAATACAACATTTCAATTACAAAACATAAGGCGCAAACATGAACAATCTTAATAACATCTATTCCTTAATATAGTCCCTGACCCCTGGCAATAGATAGTCCTCCTTCCAATGAGGTCCCTTGGGGGGTGTCCAGGAAGCACCAGGGTCCCTTACACCCCTTAGGGCCTTGACTAGGTGAGCGGGAGCTGCTCCCTCAGCCCCGTCTCTGGGTTTGCCCCCCCAAATGTCTTTCCCCTGTGGGACCCAAGGGCCCAATGACTCATGCTCCCTCAGGTGGCGGTGGTCAGGGCGCAGCTCAATGGGGTCTCCTTTGCTGGAGCGACTCTCCAGGCCTCTCCTGTGCTGCTGGGCTCCTTTCCACCCTGTGCCCTGCTCTGGGCACTGAGGTCTCAGCTCCTTTCAGCTGCTGCACCACTGCTCCTGGCTCCTGGATGCTGGGCCTCATGCTGCAGCACTACCATTTCCCCATGCCCTGGCTCGGCACTGAGGGCTCTCTTAGCACAAGCCGGGTCTTTCATGCTCTGGTCGGCTGTCCTCACACTGGGTGGCTAACCCAAGCAGCCTCCATGTGGCTCCCTGGCTCCCAAGACTTGGGGCCATGCGCTGCTCTGCGCACCATGGGACCTGGCTGCTTGCCGGGAGATGGGGCCTGAGCCATCTCACTGCAGCCTCAAGGCCTTTGCTCCGTGCGCTGCCCCGCTGGGCCTGCCCAGGTTGCAAGTTTGAGTCGCTGCTTGCAGCTCCCAAAGCCTGGGCTCTGTGCACCAAACCATACACTATGATGGGCCCGAGCAGTCTCACATTGCTTCTAGGGCTGGGTCTCCATGCACCATCCCTGGGCACCGTCAACAGCCAAAGCAGTTTTACAACACTCCCAAGGCTGCTCCTCCAGTGGCAGCTTCAAGAGCCTTGGGCCTATTGCCCGCTGGGGGAGAGCTCCCCAGCTTTTCTTGGCTCCGCTCTTCTTGAGTCCCTCACTACATCTGCCCCTCGTGCTAGGCACGTGGCTCCTTTTACACGCTCCAGGGCTCCAGCCCTGAAGTCTTCCAGACCTGACAGTTTGCAGTCTTCAAACAGGTCTGGGGAAACTCTTCTCCCCATCCCCTCAGGAAAGGGGCGTGACTTTATTTCTCTTGCTGCCTCCTGATTGGTGGATGGGCTCCACCAATCAAAACAGCAGGATCTCCACCCAAGCTCTGAAAGGTGAGCCTGCTACATTAGTTTACTCCAGCCTAATAGGGGTGCATGCGTAGATGCAAGACATTTACTACACAGCTAATTAGTCTACTCTGCAGTAAATGTTTCATGTAGACATGCCCAATAAGCAATTAATTATATGCCTAACTTTAAGCACTTCATTAGTTCCAAAGTGATGGAGTTACTTGGCTGAATTTATTGACTTCAATGGGTGTACCCATGTGTTTCAAGTTAATCATGTACTTAAGTGCCTCACTGGAACAGGGAGAAAATACTCAGTGAACACATCTACACGTGCCATTAATGCACAACAATAAAATCTTATTGCTCTGGAGTTTATTGCTTTCGGGAAGGTCCTGTGTACACCATTTACACATGCACCCAAACCACAGCATGTTGAGCGGAGTCAGAGTAGCCCCAGCAGGTAGGGGACCTGGGGACTTAACCTTCCAGCCTGAGGCAGCTCTGACTGGGCTCAGTGTGCTGCAAAGGAGCTGGCAGGGGCATGAGGGTGTTTAAGTGTGGGGCTAACCAGCAGGCAGCCCCTGCATTTAAACACCCTCATGCCCCAACCAGCCAGTTCAGTGTCTATACATGCACTGCTCCACACAAAAAAACTTCTGCAGCAGGGTAGTACTTGTACAAGGGTACTTGTACAAGTACCCCTACAAGTACTACCCTGCTGCAAAATTTATTTTCCTGTGCGGTGCATGTGTAGATACTGAGACGATTACTGTTGAGCTAATTAGTCAGCTCTAGTAAATGTTGCGTGTAGACATGCTCAATACTTCTCAGGATTGAGCCCATCAAGCAGTGCTTATGTTAGTAGTCTCATGGACGTGAGAGTGGGGTGTACATGTCAATATAACTCAAGGTAAATGTGACAAAAATAAAGAACTGAATAATTTCAGAAGGGTTCAATAATAAATCAGGAAAAAAATAATATATTCCATGAAGCTATTACTTTTTCCTTTTGAACTTTCATAGAAAATCTTGAGCTAAAAAATATTTCAGTGGGAAGCAATACATTTAATACATCAATTTTAAGATTATCTTTTTATTTATTTAACCTTATACATTAAAATATAATGCTTATATATATATGATAGAAATAATAAATATTTCATTGGAAAAATTAAACTTTTCCCTGGCAAAGAAGACAACTGTTGTCAGATGTCAACGAGATTTTAATAATAAAAAAATTATATAATTACAAATAACAAAAAGTTCTTTTTCACACAGTATGTAATTAATGTGTGGAACTCGGCCACCATTGTAAAAGCTGAGAGTTGTACCAGATTCAAAAAGGGGCTGGAGAAATTCTTGGGAAAAAGGTACACCAGTAGCAATTGTGTGACACAGTATACTGGGCAAGATGGATTTATAATCTGACCCAGTAAATGGCAGTTCTTATTTTCTAATTTTTCTACAAGCAGCTAAGAGTGAAATTTCAGTCACATAATTTTGCATAAAATATGGCTGGTTGGGGTTAAATGAAGCACATGAAAAAAAAGATTTTTCCTACCTCTTCCCAAGGATAAGGATAATGCCTTCTAATGTAATGAATGCTGGTGTTGAGGAATGGTGTCCAGTGAGTGTCTTCAGATACATGATGAAATATTCCTACAACAGAATTATATGTACATTACTTTATTTGATTTTCTCTGTATGGAAAAAATGGATGTCTCTTCTACTGCACATTAAAAGAAAGCAATGGTTTGCAGCATTTTAGGCAATGCAATTGTCAAAAGAGATAAAAGATTTACATGCCATTTTATGGATTGAAACACCTGGGACCCTCATGCTACATCCCTTTCTCCATACTTGTGGGTCAGTGAGGTAGATACAGCAATGCTGCACTCTATGTGGAGAATTTTAACAGAGATGAGAGAGAGGCTGGTGGACAAATGTATATATCAGATTGCATGGCAGTGCAAACTGATGGGTGATGCAGGCATAGCAGCATCCCCTGCTTCAGGGCATGCACTGATTTCCACAGCAGCCATGAAGGAAATTTCTTTTTCATCCTTTTGATGGTAAGGTTCATTATATTTTTGCAAAGGGGAGAATAATATTGCCTCTGGAAAATCTATTATTGGTCTCACTTGAATTGAGCAGAAATTTGGTCTGGTCTGATGTTCATGTAGGAGAGGATATTCTATGTGCCTACTTAATGGTCAAGGGGGTTGGGGATTAATATTACAGTGCAAAGTATAACAAGTTGCTCTTGTTTGGGAGGAAAAAGGTAATAGATAGTTTTTAGGAACTGCAAAGGAATTAGATGAAAAGTTATTTAAGGTTTGTGAAATACAGGTTCTATCAAAGATGGCAAGGTCTTCTGGATGATTTTATTGCCCCTGAGCCTCTTTTCATATTTGATACCAAATTAATTGGAAGGTTAGAAAGGCTCTGAAAGCAAATAGTGCTGATTTTGTGATATGGACCTGCGTTCTTCAAGAACAAGATTGATGCTGAAATTCATTTCATGTGGGCCACTGAACGGCCATCTATACTTTTCCCAGAGCCTGAAAAAGGGACTTTGATCCTGAAAGCTTGCAGAAAAGGACAATCTTCTTGTGATTTCCCAGTTGGTCTAATAAAAGGCATCATTTTGGAACCAAGAGTTCTAGTTTTTTGTGTATCAGAGAGCAATAACTTTTAGTTCCTGGCAAACTGGGCTAGCTACAAGGCACCAGTCTAGAGATAAAAGGCTCCATGTCTTGGACCAGTCTCCCAGCCCATTTACTCCATTATATTTTGCACTTTTAAAAGAATTACATTAAAAGTCAGCCAGCCTTTTTAGACTACATTGTTTTGTTTAATAATCTCCTATGTACCCCACAACTAATTAGATAAGAATATCACTTCCCAATTAAAGAGGTTAGCTCTAGCCTTTTTTTCTGACTTCTTAAAATCATTCTTTATTCTCAATTTCTTCTCAGATCAGTATGCAATTTAATTTAATCAAATAGAATGTATTACAGTAAATACTATAAAGCAGAAAATAATATTTCTATAAGTTTTTTTAACCTTCCTATACATTTGTTTATTGCTATAAAATTCTACAAGAAGATAAATATAGCTAGATAGATAGATATAGAATGAATGTGACAATCTCTATTAAATTATATGGGCTTTTCAGTGCTGTCTATAGAACTGTTACCTTATCTCCATAGAGATCCATCTAGACCTTATATAAGTCCATCTATGCAAATAGCTTAGGTGACCTTATCTCCATTAGATTTTATGTTTAAAATGGCCCATAAGGGAAAGATTATATTATTGCAACATTGAATGTATAAATTCTCTTCTTACCATTCTTGCAAATACCAGGATAAAAAGCATCAGGATAAACACTCCCAGCCTGAAATGCATCTTGGTGTTTTAGTAACAACTGAAAAGGGAAGAGGGAAGGAATAGGAAATCAGAATCTTTTATTATGACAGAAAAAAGAAAAACAGATTATTGTCAGTATCTAAGCCGCAGAGTCAAACACAACTCTTCAACACTGTCAGCAGGATAGTGCCAAGCTACATTTGATAGTCAAATATATTGCTTCAATTTCTGTCCTCATTTGGCAGGCCTAGGAAAGAATCTAAGCTAACTGGTTTATACTGTAATATGTATTCCCTATTATACCAAGAAAACTTTTGTAAAGACTCTTAATTCTTACTTCTGAGAAAAGATCACACTATATAAACCAGGGGTTGACAGCTCCCAGCATAGATGCCAGTGTGGCACATGAAGACATTTTGCTTCGCACATGAGCCTCGGGGTGGACAGCGGGGAAGGGGCAAGACTGCCCCTCATGGTTCCCCTGCCATCCACTCCAAGGCACACCAACATCTTACAAGTCAAGGTCGCGGATGTTAGTGGCACTCTGCCCAAAAACGTTGCTGACCCCTGATACAAACAGTCCTACAGTATTCTTATTTCAATGAAGGATGCAAATAGCACTTTAAATATTGAAAGAATCTTGAAGCACCCCCAGGTGTTGTGACAGCCTGCTTGTGAGTCACTGGTCCAGGTGCCACATTAAGACAAATGATATTAAATGCAAAGACAGCACAGGAAATGGGTAAAACACATGCAGAGTTAATTAAATGCTCCTACCTGTCTATAATTCAAATTCCTTTCATGTTTGTTGAAAAATTCCAAAGCTCTATGTGCTGAAAAATAACAAGTACTACATTAATAGCTTACAAGTATTGTCACTGGTCCTACTGTTAGTTAAAATAATACTTCACTGTCACACCTAATATAAATAATGTTGAAATGCAGATGGTTGCTTCTCTCAGCATTTCCCATGTGGTTAAGGACGTGCTCCCTCCCCACACAAACTAGAGAGGACCCTGATCTAAGAAATGCAAATATGTTACTATTTTGATGCATAAAGACACAGAGTGAGATCTTTCCATTCTCCTTCACTCCTCATTTTTCAGGCTAAATGGCGTAACAAGAGAGTCTAACAGTACTGCAGAGTCTCCCCATGGCTGCTACAGACTGTAGCAATTAAGGAACAGAATGATGATTATGCACAGCCCCCATAAGGTAAGTACAATAAAATATTCAGTACCACTGGAGGGGCACACATTCAATTTTAATTACAGATTTAACATTCCAGGTTTCCTTATTGCCCTATGTATTGAATGAGTCATCACTTTGATCACTTGATTAATCATTACTTACTAACTACTTGATTAATTTTTACCATATGTTAAAGACAACAAAAATCTGAAATCAGCAAAGTAAATACAGTGTTTACTTACTGATCAGGTAAATAATCACATTTCCAAAGTTATGTTTACTAACCAACCTTCAAACTACAGAATAAAATAAGCCGAGTCATCATTTTTCTTTAACTAAATGTTGTTCAGAGTTTTTATCATATTAAAACAAGTTTAATGTAGTCAAGGCCTTGGGACCAGTCTTTAAATAAAAGTGCTGAATATTTTCTCTGTAAAATGGTTGGGTTTGCATTACAATTTACAATCACACCAAAGACAGCCAGCATATCTTGGACTATTAAAAAAACTATGTAATGTTTATCCCTACATGTAAAGTAATCTAGAAAGAAGTAAATTAATGTATAAAAGAGCACTCAGTTGGGAATAAGAGCATCCACTTTAAATAACTATCCCACTTTGAACATACGCTCTGTTCCAGAGTAATTTTCACATGTAGACAAGCCCTTTACAAAGCACAGGAGATGCTTTAGAAACTTTACTACACAGGAACAGACAAGATGACAGAGACCTTCCACTTCTAAAATCTATATTTAATACATGGAAGAAATACAGATTCCAGTAGCAGATTACATAGATTGGCAATTTATTTCCTCTATTCTCCCCAGTTAATGGAGTGCAATGTCAGAGCAGTTAAGGCATCTTGCAAGTGCCAGATATGCAAGTTCAAGTCCAGCTATGGTCTCATGCCAAAGGCTGCCTGCAGTTGACCAGTACCTGTAGGCATCAACTTTTTCTTTTGTCGTTGGGTGTTTTTTTTGCCTTCCTGGGCCGAGTCCCACGTATGTGCAGAAGAGGCAGAGCATTACTTCAAGCCAGCTTGTCCAGTGTGGCTTGTAGTGCTGAACACCTGCTTTTTTTTTTCAGTGGCTGCTTGAGCCCTGGAGCACCCTGGAGTTGGTGCCTACACCAGTACCTGATCATGGGTAGCTGGTCATTTAGGTTAAGGAATCAAGAGCAGCCAAAAGTGGTGCTAACTACATCACTTCTTTGTACAGAGACTGTTTACCTTAACTACAGTAACCCTAACCAGTCTTTAGGCTTGGGTAAACCTTTAACTTTACTGGGTTCTCCCCAGTTATTCATATATACCACGAATTTGCAAGCTATTTGCATAGGTGGACTTATGCAGTTGTACAGAGGCCCTTTGTCTACAGTGGAGCTCCATACAAATGTAAGGATAAATATTCTGCAGCATTCACTTAAAATATGCCCTTTCAATGATCATATCTGCCAGTAAACACAGTTGCTAGAATATCTGCAGAAAGCAGATACAAAAAAACCCAAATGTTTAAAAGTTTGAATAAAAATAATCATTGAAAAAAATATTTACCCAGACCTCTCCCTAATTCTGTTATGTTGTTCAGAATTAACAAAACTGATTCTTACCTACCACAAATACATGTAGAACAAAGACTTCAGCATTTTACTACTAATACTTTGAAAATGTACTGTTCTAACACCTGATGGGAATGGAGAGAACTGAGATAATGAAGACATGTGGCAAAACAGAATGGTCAGAAATAACACATAACTGTTTAAGTCATTCCCTAGAAGATATAAATTTAATTGAATTTAAATAGCTCATATTCAGTGGGTGAAGATAAGCATTTAGCTTATTCACAGAATCATCAGATTGGAAGGGACCTAAATGGTCATCTAGTCTAACCCCCAATTCTTCCCTTCATTCTTCAAGCTATACCATATTTTACAGGATCCTTAAGCAAAGACACAAGCATTCAGATTACAGGGTGATGGAATTCTCATTTGGGAAGGTGAGTAAAAAAGTCACTTGAATTTAAGGACTGCACTCATTAAAACAACACCCTGTCCTAGCTTCTGCACAAAAACAGGAAAAAACTAGAGTTACAGTCCAAACTTCAGATCAAAGAACAGATTCATGTTCAGCCTATGACAGGTGGAATTTGCATTACTTTAACACTTTACTTTCCAAAGATCTAAGTTTCCACACACACATACATTCAGTACTCTCTGCAAGCAATTAAAAATGTCATGCTAAATACTACATGGATCTTACCTATTTCAATATGTGTTGAAATGCCGCACAGCATGCATCTTTGGCACAAACCGACCAGCGTGATTAGCAAAACAGACCAAATCCTGAAATCATCCATGTTGCCACTCTGCTGGTTTATAAATTGTGGTTTTGAAAACACTTGGGAAGCTGCACTGTGACCTTTGAAATGTAGGTTACCGTATGTTTCTCTTCTTTCAATCGTGTCACTGACATGGAGGATAAACTGTTGTGCTATCTGAGATGCCGTTGCTTTACAATTCACTGTTAGCCATTGTTTATCTTACATCTCAGTGCATGTATCTTATGACCAGAGACAAAATAAATCTATCCTATTGGAGTCTATTTTTTTCTCCTGGAATTTCTGGCATTTCAGAAGCTTGGGGAGGGTGATGTATATTACTAGAGCCTCTGCATTTCTATATTTTACATGGATACCACTGGCAGGCAATGAGGGTAATTAAAAATGTCTTTAGCACGTATACAGCTGCTGTGCACAGCTACACTTAATTTTACAGAAGGCAAAAAAAACCTTACAAACCAGTGTTCCCTTACTGAATGGGAAGGGAAATCTAATAATGGATGGTACAGAAAAGGCTGAATTATATAATGCCTCTTTTCCTTTGGTCATCACAAAAACAGTCAGCTATCAGGTGACACGCACAACTGGCAGCAAGAACAAGGGAAGGGATAATAGTTTTAAGTAGAAAGAGAAGAGGTTAGAACAGTGTTTCTCAACCAGAGCACTGCAGGAGGCTTCTCTAAGAAGGCTGAGAACCACCAGTTAGAGATTATTTAGAGAAGCTGGATGTTTTTAAGTCCAGAGGACCAGATGAGATTTATTCTAGTATACTCAGGGCATTGGCTAAGGTGATTGCAAAGCCATAATATTTTGGAAAACTTGTGGATATTGGGCAAGATTCTAGACAACTCAGAAACAGTCAAGTATTAAGAAAAAGGGGGAGAAAGAAGATTTGAGAAATCAGAAACTGATCAATTTAACCTTAATAGCCAGAAAGATAATGAAGCATGTCATCCATGTTGTATGGTCTGAAGTCCACCTACCTGTTAACTGAAAACATTATAAGCACAAGTTTTATCAGATGTCAGGAACTGCAGAACTTCCCACCAAGTAGTATGTGAAACTCTGCAGATCAGGTCCCACAACACAGTGATTCTTGCCAAACTGGTGATCACATAATTTTCAGCACAAAGGGGAGGCAATTTCAGGCAACACCACCTTCCAGAATTTCCTGAATTCCAATAAACTTTATTTTGGTGCCTATGTGGAATTCAGGGCAGGATTATGGCCCAAAGATATCATAAACTGTATAGGTCTTCCAGCTGATGGAGTCCCATCTACAAACTTGTAGCAAAATGAAGAAAATTCAGAGTGGGCCAGATCCTGAAGACCCTTCACTTTATGGGCGTGTCTACACAAAACATTTACTGTGTAAATGTCTGCTTATAAATTAGCTGCTTAGTAAATGTCTCCGCATCTACCTGTGCACCCCTATTAGGTTGGAGTAAACTAATTTACTCCACAGCAGGAGAGTACTTTATGTATAAATGCTGTCTTGCTGTGGAGTAAAAAAACTCTGCAGTAGCACATGTGTAGACTCTGCCTGACTGGCTGGGGCTCAAGGGTGCTTCAATGCGGAGGCTGCCTACTGGCTAGCCCCGTGCTGAAGCTCCCTCATACCCACAGGTGACATGTAAGGGAGGACAGGGGGGCACATGCCCCCCCTGAAATTGGCCCTTGCCGGCTGAGGAGTTGGGGGTGATGGCCGGTGTCCCCCTTGAGATTGTGGGGGTGCCAAGAGAAGCACCAGTGACAGTGATC